TACACCCCACATGATTAATGACTCACCGATGTTGTAAGCCAGCTGTCTTAGCAGCTGATGGCTGCTCCCACTGTTGCCGTACCCGCCGTACCCGCCGTAGCCAGCCTGTCGCTTTTGTCGGGACTGGCCGCGGCCTACATTTGCTGGAACTCGGCCTGAAATAGCGGCAAAATACAAAACAACGTGTCAAAGAAGATTGGAAAATGGGTGAAACGTGAAGAAAGGACGTACAGTTGTATTTGAAATCTTAAGAAGAACACCACTCTCTCTACTTGAAGAGATAATACAGTCAAACTCAAACCTCGTTATACCGCCCGCCCCCGTTATACCGTCAAGTTTTACCAAATGAGGAAAAGGAACACCTAAATAAACATAGCATTTGTGCCGTTACACCGCCATCCGCCATCTGTCTGAGTTGTACGATCCTTATGAAACTAATGTAAATTTGCCTCGCTATACCGCCAGCGAATTGGCAGGCTAGAGGTAAACATTTCACACGACGCACGGCACTCACTCAGAGGCTACTTGATAATCTCTTCCCCACAAACATTTCTGTGAGTTGGGCCTGTTTCTAACACGTGTTGATTTGCTCCTGGTTTGCGCTGATCATGAAAACTCTATTATTTTTAGACTTTGGCCAATGTTTGCACTATATGCATCCTTGGAAGTTGAGAATGTTTCAGAATGCTATCAGGTCTGCTGGGGTAATAATAATAGCATAGATTTAAAGAGCATAAAGCTTGGTTTTGAGCGTAACTGTAGAAGCGCTTTCTGTTATTGTTATTTTAAAAAATAGAATGCAATTTTAGAGTCGCCTGGAGAAACGTCAAATTGACCAGCCACTTCGGCCTGCCGGTAAAGTATCTGGCGTCAACCGAAGACAAGCAGGTAGGTGGGCATCAGTGAGACTTTTACTTTATTGTGAGGACTTACGCCCAAGTATACATGACAGGTCCAAGGTGACCCGAACACTGGCGGGTAATGGGTTTAAAAAATAACCTAGGTCTACAGGGTCCTTTGCACATAGTGTCTAGCTTCTAAACCTGGTTTATTGCAATCGGAATTCATGAAAAGTTTTACAGGAGATGAACGTGCTATAACTGGATGCTACTTATTTTGTTGGGGGGGGGGGGGGGGGGGGGTGTCAGCGCGTGGCAATCGCGCAAGACAGATTAAGATGAGGCAAGACTGGCTACAATTTGTTACTAGTCTCTTGTCTCTGCCAGTCTGCCATTAGCAAGGATGGCAATCTCGATCAAGACCATCCCGTTATACCGCTAGCCCTGTTGTGCCGCCAATATTATGTTTGCCCCCAGGTAGGCGGTATAACGAGGTTTGATTGGATTTATAATATAGTGAAACGGTGTGTAAACGTACATTTATCATTAATCTTAACAATCATTTATTTATTGAGGCACTAGCTTTATACAGTATTATTATGTTAAGGTACTTTTTAAAATATTTAGTTTTGTCTTCCAAGTTATATGAAGCTGGTGATAAGTAACCACGAATATGTTTTCTGTGTGGGGAACATCAGTAGTTTGCATACCTTGATCGTGCTCAAGTTCTTTCTCGAAGTCATTGAAATATTTCTCAGCGACTTCCTGAAGCACAGGCGGCAAGACCTCCCCGTCCTGATTCTCTAGCATGCCAACAGAGACACTCTCAACATTTGATTCCCTTCCCGGGCCAGGGGGAGAAGACACCGGAAACGGAAGTGCCATAGGCTGCTGGATATTCCGTGACGGTGCGGGGCTCTCGTTCGCCGGAGCCTCTTCCGGTGCGCTCTCTGTTTGGCTGTTGGCATTGGTGTTGTCGGAGTAACTTCCCGTTTGTGTGCTTTCGTTTGATTGGTCTGAGGGTTGTCTAGAAGCAGCTAACGCTCCCTGGAAGGTTACCCCAAGCAGCAGGAGCGAAAGCAGGACTGACAGTGATCTCCCCATGGTTCTCACAGAATGGGGCAACGCAGCGTCTCTGAAAGTATATAAGATGTACCGGTAGAGAGAACAGTCCAAAATAAGCTCTCAGATTCTATCGATAACTCCACAAGACCAAAAATTGACGGAAATAGGTATTCTGTTCGGAGGTTCCGCAACTTTGATGCAAGGAAGGTTAAACCCATACAATTGTCGCATTTGTGAGGCAGCGTGGTGGAATCAGGCTCTCGTCAAAATAATCAAAGTGAAGAAACCTGCATTTTTCCACAGGTGTGTGAATTTTTATCAAATTTTTGTTTTTTGGCTCAACACCTTTCATGTCCATTAACGAACTTATTTATGTGTGGATGTTTATTAAAAACGTTGATTAAAGGCACAAAAAATGTAAATTTTCAGTTACCAGGGACTCTTAAGCTAAGGAAATAACTAATCTTTGGCGGCCTTTTTCTCACTAAAAAACAGGTGACCCCCTCCTCCTTCTTTCGAAAATACCTCGACTTTTATTCAAAATAAATGGATTTTGTTCCCATCCGAATAAAGACAAGTGAACAAGCTTTAGAATGATACCAATAACTTTACATGCCCAAAATTTGACGAGAGCCTGATTCCACCACGCTGCCTCACATATTCGGAGGTTCCGCATCTTTGATGCAAGGAAGGTTGAACCCATACAATGACGCATTTGGTGTGGTAAGCCTCGCCCCATTACTTTACTGATTGTTTGTTTGTTTTAGTAGAGGTTTTACGGCGCCCCCAACTGCATGGTCATATGAGCGCCACAAGATTAGAGGTGTTACAAGAGAGTAACAAACACAAAAAAGAAGAAGGGGAGATAAGGAGGACAGATATTTGATAGGAAAGAAGAAGCAAACCACACCAGAGCACCCGCCAACCACCCACACTTTACTGATAATCCTATTTGTTTGATTCATGGTTACGAACAGGACGAAGCGGAAGATTTTGTACACAACCAGAGATCGTGCACGAGAAGACGTTTTACTTTACTAGAATATATTCATGAAAATCCTGGTACTTCATTAAATTTAAAAAGGGTTCTTTTGTTAGTCAAATAGATTTTTCAATAGACATTCGTCTCTTCTACTCTCTGTATACGTGCAGTACAAGAGGGTTCGATTGTCAATCAAAATGAACTCGCGCACAATGGTAGAAGGTGGCGTCTGTAGCCGAGTGGTTAAGCTACCGGACTCGTAATCGTGAGATTGCGAGTTCAGGGGTTCGAGCCTCCCCTGATGTTAGAGGTAAAACTAGTTCGGTGAATTTCAAAGCTTTAGTGTCTGTGAAAACTGCAAATTAAAATTTATTTAGTCAAGATCTATGCCTTTGATCAATGATCTTCAGTTAAAATCCAACAACAACAACAACAACAAAAATGTCCAGCAGGCGGAACAATATCGGTTTCTTCGATATCATTGAGGTTTTTTCCCATTATAATACATGTATAAAATTCTATAGCCTATTCTTTATTTCATGAATCATTAGCACTCCGATAGCAAGAGTCTATCTTATGTTAAGAATGAACTTAATTTAAAAATATAAAACTTCTTTTCCGCCCCACGGGCCTAGGACTCAACGAAACGAAACGAAACGCCTCTTACCTGACAACTGTACTACTTCCTCTTATTCCGTTCCTTTCTATGCCTTCCTCCTCTCTTCCGGATATCCTTGCTATCGCTTTGCTTAACTGAGTGGTTCTAGGTAAACCTGGGTTATATACCCGGAGTCCCGACTGAGGGCTGGGAAGAAAAATGTCACCAGCTGAATAGAGCTGAAGAGAAGATGTCCCCCCTGTGCAAATATCACACTGGTTACCGTTCGAGTCTGGTGTCTCGTGGGCTCGCCACACCAATTGGATTAAAGTCCGCTAATGACGCTTTTAAGGTTAAACGAAGGCGGTAACGATTAAGAATTGGTTGGGAAAAGGCCACTAGTTGTATTGTTCGAAAAAGAGCTCTCTCACGTCGTTAATCTGAACGGAGAAGGCAATTGCCGTGGTTGCAGAAGAATCAGCTTAGGGATGAATTAATGAATTGTAGGAAAAAGGCGAGGGGTGGAAAGCAGGGACGAAATGGTGGCTTCAAGCGAAAGGGTACTCGTTGCAACCTTTGTTTGGGGAAAGGTTACAAAGGGATCGAACGTGTGTGTATGTGTGAGTCTGTGTGTGTTTTTGTGTGCGGGGG